CGACTAAAAATTTTGTCGCCAAATGTATAATTTAAAAGATATAATTGACTATTGGCGACCAAAGTTTTGGTCGGTAAAGACTTGCTTTTTGGCGACTAAAAGTTTTTTAGTAGCCAATACCTTTTCCGACTGTTTTCCAGCGACCAAACCGGCGATTAAAAAATTTAATCGGAGAAACTTAAAAACCGACTTTTGGCGACTAAAAATTAACTTTTGACAACTAAAAATTTAATCGTCAAATGTATTTTTTTTTGTAGTGTACATTTCCCTCATTGTGGTTTGCAATCACATTACAATTTACTCATTCTATTACTTAACAGTAGAGTTAGCAAATAACTTTTGCTGAACCTCAACAACTAAAATTTTTAAATACCAAATTTACTCTCAAATTACGTTAACTCTTTGAGTTGAGAAATTGTTTTATAAACTCACCTCATGACTATCATCTCCAAGCAGAGTATCACCTTTCTTTCTTCTCCTTTTACCTACTGCTTTGGCCAATTATTTTCACCACCACTAGTGATGAGGTATTACACATCTACACATCTTTGACCCACTATTAACACCACTGTACAGAGACACTAGGTGAAGGTACACTTGGATGGTGAGGGAGTGATGAAGTCACTGGCATGGAAGAATTGAGAGATTGTTAAGGTACACTGGTGGACAGCACCACACCATTGATTGTGAAACCCATATTCATTATGTTGTTGCTCAATCTCTTGAAAAAGTACATCTGATTTGTGTGTGTATATATATATATATATAATGGTTGTGTTGATTTAATTGTAGCCCATGTGACTTTTTTGTGATGTCATGAACGCTGATTGAAATTTATTATTTATAGTGATGCAAATTGCTGAGGATGATCAGTAGGGAGCAAAGATAGTAATTGAATAAATGTTTGATGATGATTTGCTTATCTTCTTTCTTTTGCTTTGTTTCTCAGTGGGTATAGAGAAATCAATTATTGGTAGTGTTGTCTTGGGTAATGGTGAAGCTGAGATGTTTGATAATTTGTCTATGAGTATTGATGGGTGAGAGATGATGTATGTGAATCGTTATGATAAAGGTTGGTGGCATGTATGTTATGGTTGAGACAAGAGATGATGGTTGTAATAGTGGTGTTAGTTTTGAAGAGGGTAATATGATACTTTTATAATTTCATTGAAAGGCATTAAGGTCATTATGTATTTTTGGTTTAGTTTTGTTAAGAGACAAGGTCTGGTGGGGGTGTAATGCAATTTGCAGAACGTGAAGGTGAGATTTCTATTAAGGGTAAATTTTAAGGGGTGTTAGTATAATTTATTCAAAAATAAAAAGGAAAATGGTATTAATGGCCGACACAATTATAGTGTGTGACATCCTCACATACGTCACGGTTTGTTTTTATTTTTGTTTTGTTTTGTTTTTTTATTGCACATGTGTAGCAGGTGCTTTTTAATTTTAATTTTTTTGGGGTTCAACTTTTAGTACTTATTTGGAATAATATATTCGTGCAATAAAGTTTTCATGGACCACGAGGTAGAATTATTTATTAAGTAAATTATAAACATATTTCTTAATTTTTTTTTTAAAACATATATTATTTTTTATAATTTTAAAAATTATATTTTGTCTTTTTAAATTTTTAATCACATAATAAATGATTACTTTTTATTAATAAATAAATTCAATTAATAAGTTTTATTAATGTTAGAAATATATTTCAATAACAATTCAAGTATTTATATTATTGTATAGGAGAGTAGTTAATTTTTTTTTTTGTTAATTCTATTAAATAATTTTTTTAATAAAAGGGTATTTGTAATTTTCAAAAATAAAGGAGGCAATCTGTATTTTAAATAAATTTTAAAGGACGTATTTCTTATTTATCCTTATTTATTTATGGAGAAATAGAAAATACACGAAACAGCCACAAAATAATTGCACTACCAATGTTTTTTTTTTGAGTGGTGATTCATCCCACTAATTTTTGAACCACTAATAGCTCTAATGAGCTTAAAAAAAAAAAAAAAAACAAACTCAAGCCAAAACATCACATCACTTTGGTGGAGGCCACAGTGCCACATCATTAGTGATGCTCTAGAGCTCCCAATTTAGTGCTCTAAAACATTATTCTTTTTTTTTTTTTTTGGTACAACTCTGTCACACAAGAAGAGTTACACCAATCACATGTATGAATTTACACTACACATATATAGGAGAGTTGCACCATCATAAAAATATAATTTTTTTTTCTCACTACTCTACTGAAATGTAATGTTTCCTTTATTTATTATAAAAGCACAAGGAAAGACACTACACTTGAGGCTACATACGAATCGAACCGAGCTGAGATTTAGTATGTTTGGACTTATTTGTTGAGATTTTTATGAGTTTAAACCTGAACCCAATAAAAATTTAACGAACCGAGATCGAGCCAAGTTGGCTTAGGCTTGATTCGAATTCGAGTCTGTTCACGAGTCTTAACAAGGCAAAGAAATTATAAATTCATACTTATATACGAGACTAAAATTACAACTATAATTTTAATTATACAATTATGTATAAATATATTTTAAAAAAAAGTCAATATCTTACTAAAATAATAATATCTATCACTACTATTATATAAATATATTATCTATAATTAGCTATTATTTATATATAAATAAATTTAGCTATTAATTATATTTATATTATTTAAATATATAAATAACTTATTTATTTTATTTTTATACATATTTTTACATTATTTAATATATAAATAATAGATGTTAAACGAGCTGAGTTAACGAGCTAAGCTTTAATATGTTTGGATTTGTTTATTAATATGTTAATGATTTACTATGTTTGAATTTATTTATTAAATTTTTAACAAATTTGAGCTCAAATTTAAATATAATAAAAATTTAAATTCTAATTAAGTTGGAACCGGTCCACGGACAGGTCTGTGAATTCATTTGCTGCTCCAACTACACAACTGGGGAGGCCACTTGCTAAAAGCCCAAGCCTTCTTTTGGCATTGGAATATTCAATTAGGGCCCACTGAGACATTTTTCCTCTTTACAGATTTGCCTTTTTATTTTTATTTTTAATTATAATAAAATAAACAACATTAGATTATTTTCAATAATTTTAAAATATTATTCATAAAATTTATTTTTAATAAAATTTTAAAACATTTTTTTACACAAATCTGAATAGTATTAAATAATGTTTCAAAAACACTCGTCAAATGTTAATAAGTGCTTCAGAGGCGCTCTTTAGTATTAAAATTGGGATAAAAAAATTTCTTAAAAATAAATAAAAAGCTAGAAAGGATATTAATTTAGTGAAAAATATATTAAATTTAGTAAAAAAACAATATCTCATAATATGATTTGAGAGGCAATTTGTGGTTGTCAACTGGTCATAGTTTGTAAAATATCTCTCGGAAAGATGTGGAGTGCTATTAAAAATCTACGGTGTTCAATATCATTTTCAAAAACTTATGTTTTATTTATTTTTGAAAATTAAAATTAAAATTAAAATTTTGTTTAATAGTTTGTTTTTAAAAACAATTTTGGGATAAGAAAATATAAATAACAAGCTACACCAAACATGGTCTTTACTTGTTGGCCACCAATTTTGTTTTAGGCCATCTCAATTATGTTTTTGAAACCAAAATGTGATACCGGCTACATGGTTGATAGGAATGGCAATGGGGCTGGGCGGCGCTGGGGACCCCATTCTCCATTCCCGATCCCCGATAATGAGAAATTTCCCGTTCCCGGCCCCAATCCCCGGCAGGAATCCCATCGCTCCAGCCCCCGATTGGGGATCAAGTATCCCCGACCCCTCAAATTCCCCGAATTACAATTTTTTTATCAACAGATTATTTATCAATAAACAGATATATTAATGATAGATCTATTATTTATCAACAGATCAACAGATCAATAAACAGATCTATAAATTGAACAGATCTATAAAAATAATCCTTCAAATTCATAATAAATAAATTTAGAGGAAAAAAAAAATAGAGGTTGAGGAAAATATATATACACTCAGATATATATATATATATAATATACATATATGTAAATCCCAGATCGAAATCCCTAAAGAGAGAGAGAAAGAGAGTAGCGACGGAGGAGCGGCGGTGAGGGAGGATCGGTGGTGAGGGAGAGAGAGCAGTAGCCCCGTCGTGTGTGTGCGCGTGTGTGTGTGAGAGAGAGAGAGAGAGAGAGAGAGAGGGAAGCGAAACTGTAAACGGCAGAGGCGGTAAGGGAGGATCGGTGGTGACGGAGGATCATTGGTGAGAAGGGAGGCGCAGCGGTGAGAGAAAGAGAGAGGGGAAGACCAAACCAGTGGTGATGGCGAGCGAGAGAGAGAGAGGAGCGGAGCAGAGCACCAGCGCCATGTGTGTGACTAAGTGAGAGGCTCCGTGTGTGTGTGTCAAAGAGAGAGAGAGAGAGAGAGGGAAGCGAAACTGTAAACGACAGAGGCAGTAAGGGAGGATCGGTGGTGACGGAGGATTATTGGTGAGAAGGGAGGCGCAACGGTGAGAGAAAGAGAGAGGGGAAGACCAAACTAGTGGTGATGGCGAGCGAGAGAGAGAGAGGAGTGGAGCAGAGCACCAGCGCCATGTGTGTGACTAAGTGAGAGGCTCTGTGTGTGTGTGTGTCAAACCCTAAACAAACACAAGCATATAATATATATACCAGGGACAAAATAGTAAATTTACCTTGGGGACTAAATGGGGCGGGGTTGGGGCCGGGCTGTGTCTAGGTCTGAAACGTCTATCCCCATCATCGGCTCGGATATCATCAGGGATGAACTTTTGAATACCATCTCCGGCCTGTCAGGGATATTTTTCGGTGAATAACCATTGAATTCGGGATAGGGGGGTCGGGTCCCCGTTGGGCCGGATTCAGATTGCCATTGGTTGATTCTGTATTTAATTTTCTATTCTTTAAATGATTAATATTTTTATGATCTATTATTGCCTTCGTTATAATGTTGTGAAATTTCAGATTGCAAAGAAACTGCTAAGGAATTCTCTGGTTCTAATGGGTGAAATAGGAGGGAATGATTACAACCATGCATTTGATTCAGGAAGAAACATAGAAGAGATCCAATCATTTGTACCTCCTGTTATTAATGCCATTGGTTTTGCCATCAATGTAAGAACTTTTTAATTAATACCTGCCAAACGGTCTTGATTTTTTGTGTAAACTAATGGGCCAGGCTATACCGGCCTAAAATTTAATCACCAGGCTAAGGCTTGTGGGCTTTGATTGATCAGTAGACGGAGTTTGAATCGACCCATCTTAGATTCTTGAAGTCCAAACCTCACCTATGGGCTTAAAATACAGATTCATGGGCTTACGACCCACAAGGCTCTTTTCCCTTATTTAGGGTTTATATTGAATTTTTTTTATTAAATAAAAAATCATTGTGTAAATAGGATGATTATTCAGTATTTCCTGAATATGAACACGTGGTGCTCCATAAGAGTTTGATTGGTAGAGAGGGATAGGGGGCCACGATTTATGTTAGGAATGGGGGAACAACATAGAACTAAATAATTGATGATTGGTTTGGAATATAACCACGTGGTGGTTCGAAATTATTGAATAATTTTCCGTGTAAATAAGGGGTTTCAATACAGAAGTTTAAGGTTGGGTTTGACAATAATAGTTTTAGTTTTATTCGTTTATTATTTTTAAGAATAAAATTGTTGCAACTTTTTAGCATTGGGAAAGTTTAGGCAAGTTGATTATATATTTTTGCTTTTTCTTTTTCTTTTTTTCTTTCCAAATATATTTTTGAAGATCCTGAAAAGTAAAAGATTTAAAAGTAAGTTTTATTTATTTATTTTTACTAAAGATTAAAAAAAGTGGCATTTTGAGACATTGTCAAACATAGACGAATCTTATTAAAAAAGTTGCTCTTTTCACGATTATCAACTAAAAATTTGTAGCCGAACAGTCTAGGTTTTGTAAACTTAAACAGAGAAAACAAAATGGCTAAAAAAGCCGAAGTCAAACAAGGCCTAAAGTGCATCACAAGTTTATGAGCTGGGTTCTAGGTAGCCCACTATAGGCGGGGCATGATCCAAACCCTTAGGCCCAATCCCAGCACATATATTTTCTTGCTGGTTTGGACCAACTCAGTCTTGGGCCTGGCCTTGGTTGGGGTACCCAACGGGACGTGGGCACTTGATGGGCTGTGAGCTTCGGCCTTTGTGATGAGGCCCAAGTAAGTTCAACAGAATTTGTTGGTGGATTTTACTTCATAGCTCCAAATCAAGCTATTTAGTTGTTTTATGGAATTAATTTTGGGATATACATATTTGTAGGAGTTGATTGAGCTTGGGGCAGTGACACTCATGGTTCCACGGAACTTCCCAATTGGGTGCCGACCAACTTTCTTAACTAATTTTATGAGTTCAAATAAAGAAGCCTACGATCCTGAAACTGGCTGCCTTATATGGTTGAATGAGTTTGCTATGTACCACAATGATATGCTTCAGATAGAACTGAATCGGATTCAAAAACTTCATCCTTATGCTACGATTATCTATGCAGATTATTACAACGCTGCAATGCGCTTCTTTCGCTCTCCTATCGAATACGGTAATTTTATATACATCATTTTATTCATTTCATATCATTACATTGGCGTGTTTTGTTTTTTCTACGCAACAAAATTACTGTAACTCTTCTATAATATGTTGATTGGTAATCCATATGAGAAAAGTAGAATTGAAGGATTGAGAAAATTCCATTGGAGATTTTTTAGTTTTTAATAAAAAACTGATAAGCAATAAGACATAAAATGAAATGTTGTTTAGAGTAAAAACAAAGATCTAATAGCATTAGAAAACAATCAACGAAGGCAGTTTTTTTTGCCAAGCAAGAAAATAATGTAGAAAATTACTAAAAGCTTTAAATTTGTGTGCTAAACCCAAATACGAGGAAAGATATATACTAGAAGGTCATAGAAACGTGCCATAATAAATTGAAACTTTCTAGAAAAAAATATAACCAAAACAATTATTTTTTATAATGGCAAAATCACTAATTTAAGGGCCAAGACCAACAAATTATTTTGATAACTGCATTAGGTCACAGCAAAACAATGAGTTTTGCTTGTTGGACCATTACCAATCAAACACGGGCCTTTTGGTCTAAATCCACCTATGTTGAGCTGAATTTATAAATACTACTTTGCTATCCGATGGTCAAATTCAAGAATTGGGCTGCTACCATGTCTGCAACCTCTCACGACTTGACTTTGAAATCAAGAATTTATTGGCTTTTTGGCTCGGTTTTGAAATATACTATTCTAGATTGAATTGGGCTTATGATTTCAATATATACTAGGTGAATGAGCATATTCATGGCAAATTTATAATCTTTGACATTTTGATTTTAGGGTTTAGTGGAGGAGCTCTCACTGCATGCTGTGGAGCAAGAGGTCCCTACAATTTCGACCCATCTGTGGAGTGTGGGTATCCAGCATCAACAGCTTGCGATGACCCTTCTTCACATGTTAGCTGGGATGGTTTACACATGACAGAGGCAGCTTATAGATGGATTGCCAAAGGGTTATTACAAGGACCATACACTGTCCCTCCCATTAACACCTCATTCTGTGTTTTCCTTCCTGTGATCAGTACTAAATCTTCCAAGTAGCTTGGAGAATCATGCTCTCTGTCACAGTTATTCCTTACACTGAATAATGCTTTATTTGATGCAAAATTGGATCTCAGTGTTGTGCAATTTGGTTTTTTTAAACGGGTTCTTGGCAAACTTGAAACAAATTTAACCAATTGCAGTTGAAACCATGGTGGAAACCAAAAATAGTGGAACCCACATTAATAAATAAACGTGATTATTATGAATGGATGACCTTGTTAACATATAATATATACACCCCATTACCATATATAGCTGTAAAAGACCTTGTGTCTGTAAAGGCCACAATGTGTAGCTGTAAAGGCCACAACTTTCACTTTAGCTTTAGCTTATCTCAATGTAATTACCAGGCATCCGATTCCATTTGTCTCCTTCTCCTCTCTATAAAGAGAGGGAGCTCACCCTCTTGTATTCACACAGAAACATAATATAACAACACCAATTCTTCAATTCAGTCTCTCTCTGTTCTCTCCATCCTTACCAATCTTTCATGGTATCAGAGCCCAGAAATACAATTTTGGCATCCCTCAATTTTGGTGCTTAGTTCCGTACACAGTGGACTATACCAAACAGCTCGGAATCTCCTTACGATTCCAATGGCACCAAGCCCATCACCAGAAAAGCCCTCACGCGCTCTCATGCGCCGCTTCTTTGCTCGGTGCGTTTCTGCTTCCGTTGCCACTCTCAAACGCGCTGCCACGCGCCTTCCACCCTGCCCTGTCGTGCGCCGCGCCTGCTACCGTGCACCCGCGTGCGCTGTTCGTCTACCGTGAGCCGCGCGTGCGCCGTTCCGCTATTGTGCACCCGCGTGCGCCATTCTGCTAACATATGCTGCCAGCCCCCTCTGCTACCGTGCGCCGCACGCCTTCCCTGCTAACGTGCGCCGCTGACATCATTTTCCATCCTGCTGACATCATCCCTACACAGCCCACCTTTCCTAGCTATTTTCGACCTTCCGGACTCACTGGTACACTCTGTTTTACCTAATTTTGCTTCTACAGGTCTCTCCCCATCTATTTAGCCCTCCTCCACTATTATTATGGATCGTCCTGATGCCTCCCATCCCATTTCCGTTATTTTGGATGGTTCCAACTATGTTCTATGGGCCCAAGCCATGTCTTCCTTCCTCAAACGAAAGAAGCTCTGGCGAATTATCACTGGGGACATGACCCAACCGGTCAAAGACACTGCTGAAACCACTGTTTCTCCTGCTACTCCTACATATGAAGATCGTCTTGAGGAATGGGACAGTAAGAATTACCAAATCATTACCTGGTTTCGCAATACTTCTGTTACCTCTATCAGTCTTCAGTTTGGTCGCTTTCAGCTTGACTCTGTCACTACTCCTGCAAAAGACATGTGGGACTTTTTGAAAGAACGATACCAGACTACTGGTCTTGCTCATCAATATCAACTTCAGAGTCAACTTCATCGGATGTGCCAAGAATCTAGTCAGTCCATCAATGACTTCCTTTCTCAAATGTACTCCGTTTGGGACCAGCTTGCTCTTTCCGAACCAACTTGGCCTCACCGAGAAGATGCTGTTTTATTTACTGCTTATCGTAATCAGCAAAGGTTGGTGCACTTTCTCATGCTCTCACTTCATCTTTTGAGCCCGTACGTGCCTCTCTTCTTCATCGCCATCCCTTGCCCACTCTGGAACAAGCTATTTCTGAGTTGCTATCAGAAGAGACTCGTCTTGGTACTCTCCAAACTCATCATGTGGACTCTGTTCTTGCCACTCCCTCGTACCGGCCATCATTCCCCCAGCGGACCACTGCCTGTCTCTACTGTCAGAATCGGGGCCTTCCTTCCACACATCTCCTGGTCAATTGCCCAGTCAGAACCTGCCGATATTGCAACAAACTTAGTCCTGGTCATCTGCAACAGGATTGTTTTCGCCATCCGTCCCGCTCATCCTCCAACAGCTACTCTTCTCGCGTTGGTTCTTCTCGGGGGAGCTTTCATCGTTCCAGGAATCAATCTCATTCTGGGAATCAGTCTTCTCACACCGCCACTGCTGCTGCTGCCGCTGAGAGTTTTTCTGAGTCTCCGGCTCTGTCTACCCCTCTCTTTTCTCCAACGGATGTCGAGGCCATGTTCAAACACCTTCTCTTCCCTTCTGGTATACCTCCTCCTACTGCTTTGTCTGTAATTCCAGGTAACTCTTCTTGGTATTTTGATTCTGCCTGTTGTAATCATATGACCTCCAGTTCAACTATATTTTCTTCCATCTCTTCATCTCCTCATATTCCCTCAATTCAAACTGCTGATGGTTCTCTCATGACTGTCCGTCATCTTGGTACTGTTTCCACATCTTCCTTAACTTTACCTCAAGTTTATCATATCCCTGCTCTCACTTTAAACCTTATCTCTATTGGTCAATTATGTGAACTTGGTCTAACTGTCACCTTTTCTGCTACTCATTGTTTGGTGTAGGACCCTCAGACGAGGCAGACTATTGGGATCGGCCGTAAGCACGGACGTCTCTACGAGCTCATTCACCTTCATGTTCCTGTCTCTCCTCAGATCGCTGCTCCTGCATCTGCTTCCTCATTATCTCATTTTCATCTTTGGCATTGTCGCTTAGGACATATTTCTATTACTCGCTTAAAGTCTTTGGTTTTTAGTGGACAATTGGGTCATGTAATTCCAGATACTTTCGATTGTATACCCTGTCAACTTGCCAAACAACCTGCTTTATCATTCAATAAAAGTACTTCTGTTTCCTGTGAACCTTTTAATCTTATACATTCGGATATTTGGGGCCCTTCCCCTACCACTACTATGGGGGGATCTCGTTATTTTGTTGTTTTCATTGATGATTTTTCACGGTTTACCTGGATTTTTCTCATGAAAACTCGGTCTGAACTCAAAACTCTTTATTATCGATTTGCCCAAATGATCCACACCCAATTTTCTAAAACCATCAAACTTTTTCGCTCCGACAATGCTATGGAATATCGGGATTCAGATTTCCTTTCTTTTCTTCAGAGTCATGGTACACTGCCTCATCGTTCCTGTGCTGGCACGTCCCAGCAAAATGGCCGCGCTGAACGGAAACAAAGGCATATTCTTGACACTACTCGCGCTCTCCTTCTCTCTTCTTCCTGCCCTGAAAACTTTTGGGGGGAAGCTGCCCTCACTGCTGTTTACACTATCAACTGTGCTCCTACCCCTGTCATCCATAATCAAACTCCCTTTGAACGTCTGCATGGCACTCCCCCTCCCTATGCTAATCTTCGGGTTTTTGGCTCTGCCTGCTTTGTTCTCCTTCAATCTCATGAACACACCAAGCTTGAACCTCGTTCTCGTCTTTGTTGCTTTCTTGGGTATGGAATTGAACATAAAGGCTTTCACTGTTGGGATCCTCTCTCTCAACGTCTTCGTATCTCTATCAGTCTTCAATTTGGCCGCTTTCAGCTTGACTCTGTAACTACTCCTGCGAAAGACATCTGGGATTTTTTGAAAGAGTCCATAGTTATGGAGGAATTGGATTTGACCCTCTCGTGAAAATTTTAGTAAAACAATCTTCGAAACAGCAGGAAGTCAATTATGTTACTGAGAGCACGGCCACAGAGTATTCACCGGTGTATGTAGACCCTCAAGATGGACTGAAAGCTGCTGACAAGATTGTATCTTTGCCGGGGCAGCCTAATGGAATTAACTTTGATCAGTACTCTGGCTATGTTAGGGTTGATCCCAACGCTGGCAGAGCACTTTCTACTATTTTTCCGAGTCTCAGAATTCTTCTAGCAAGCCTCTTGTGCTGTGGTTAAATGGAGGTGATTTCTTGCTAGTTTGTGATTCTCGTGTTTCCATTATTTGTCATCTCACTCTCCCTAGAACCTGTAATAACAAGGGTCTCGTAAACTGAGACGCCTTTTTTTAGTCTCATTTGCCCTCATTTATCCCTCAGTTACTACTAAATACCAATAATCGCCATTTAAAGGCTTAAATAAACAACTTTGGCAATCTAGAGCCAATCATAGCGTAGCGGTGAGTTGTGCTAGTTTGGCTATTTCAAATCAAATAGGGTCCTCAAGTTCGACAAGTTTGAAAAATCTCTCAAATTACCGTTTTACCATCAAACCGTGATTAAGTCGGTATCAAATGCACATCTGCATTACCATTTCTTTTTGTCGTCATTCTGCTCCCCAGGACCTGGCTGCTCTTCTTTTGGCAATGGAGCAATGATGGAGCTCGGACCATTTCGAGTCAACAGCGATGGATTAACTCTATCAGAAAACAAATATGCATGGAACAATGGTGAGTATGCTCATGTTTCTGTTCCAAACCATTAATCAAATTCTTAAAAAGTACACGACAATCATTTGTAATTATGACATTCTGGCAATGCAGCGGCGAATATACTTTTCCTTGAGTCACCGGCTGGTGTGGGATTTTCTTACTCAAATACTACATCAGATTATGACAAAAGTGGAGATGCTAGAACTGCAGCTGATTCCTATACCTTTCTAGTCAACTGGTTGGAAAGGTTTCCAGAGTACAAAACCAGAGACTTCTTCATAACCGGAGAGAGCTATGCCGGGCATTATGTGCCCCAACTTTCTAAATTAATCCTTCAAAATAACAAAATCACCAACCAAACTGTCATTAACTTGTAAGGAATTGCTGTAAGTAGCCAATTTATTTATTTATTTTTTATTTTTTGTAAATTTCTACAACTCGTAATACATGTGTGACGCAGTGGAATATCACACGATGTCTAGATACCATTTTAGAATATGAGAAGGTCTTGAATCTGCAAAGATGTGAAACTTTGAAATTTTACTAAAATGAATTACCTCTGAGAGTGATTTATATGTCTGTTAATAATAGATTAATCCTAGTTCTTGTAGAACATGAAATAGCTAAGAAAAAAGAAAATTTAGCAAATTTGAATACCACATGGTGTAGGAAAATATCGAAATAACGCGCACTGAAACTAAAACCCCCTAAACTATAAGTCATAACTAATAGTAGTTTTTTTTTTGTTCTTTTGATCGGAAAACAAATTTTTTATTGATGCAATCGAAGAAAAGTAACATACTAACACAAGGTATGTTAGGTCTGATAAGACAATTAAATTTGAAGTAATTCTGAACTCATTCCGTAACTGGTTGACATTGTTAACATATAATATATACACCCCACTACCATGTATAGCTGTAAAAGACCTTGTGTCTGTAAAGGCCACAATGTG